TTTAATAAGAATTATATATAAGAATAAAAAATTTAATTATTATTTATATAAATTATTAAATTTTAATTTAAAATTTTAGAAATTAAATTATGCATATTAAAAATGCACTGAAAGGAGCAATTATTTGTAACATTACGAGCAATCTGAGATGTTCATTTGTGGAAGGAAGAGGGGCACAAAATGGCCTCGGGAAATGGACTATCATGCTTTATTTTTATTAATATTATTTTAAAACGTTGGTTGCATGATGAGAAATAATTTTTTTTTTTTTGTTATTTCATCTCATTTTTATACTATTTGAGTCAAATTTAATAAAATTATCATTGAGTTATTTAAATCGTTAGTTATTGTTTCTTTATTTTGTCACTAAAAATTTAATGATGGCTTTAATAGATTAACTCTTAGTGTGTTTGGTCAGTGAGTGTTTTTTTTGTTTTGTAAAATATTTTTAAAGTACAGATTAAAAATATTTTTTTATCATAAATTTATATAAAAAATGTAAAAATTGATATTAATTTTAAGGTTATTATTATTTGGGCAAATTTAATTAGAGGAATAATAAATTAAATGTCAATATTTATTTTTTTAAAACTTTTAACCTGTCTCTTAAAACATAAGTTAAATTTTTTTAATTTTTTAATAAGTTTATTTATATATTTTTATATTTTAATATATATTAAAAGAAAATAAAAGAGATATTTTTAATTTTTATTTTTCTTACTTAATTCCTAATTAATAAACGTTTATCCTTATGTTATTTTAAGAGAAAAAGTCAATTTTTTTATATATATCTCACTAGATAATTTTTTGTTAACTTTTTATATGTTAATTTTTTTATTAAGAATAAAAAAATTAATAATATAATAAAATTTTAACAAAATCTTATTACAAAACTTATTCATTTTTTGTACAATATTTTTTAAACTTTTTTTTAATAGTTTTTCTCAATTACTTTTCTAATAATTTTTTTTTATATAAATTGACTTGTAACCAAACCTAATATAATGTTCAACTTTCTAATGCTTAAGTTTAGTTTCGAAATAGAAATATTACGTTAATTAATCTTTATTATTTAAAACGATTGGTCTATTCCGTGGATATTTAATTCTCTTTCTCTCTGGTGATTCCTCACATGTTTCCTCTATGATACATATTGGCCCTTCGATGCGTTGCATTGCAGATGACTTGGCAGAAGCCTAGCTAATTAAAGTATTCATCATGATTTTTGCTTTTTTGGGGGAGTTGAAAACTTGAAATGCATATGTGGATAAGGTCCGACACCCAAGAAATATTTGAATGAAACAATTGCAACTTTTCCACTTTCTTATGAAATATTGCTGACAAACACGCAGGTTAATTTTATTGGCAGCCTTGCCTTTTTAATTTTTTATCTTTTCCCCTTGATATGCTAATGGCATGGACAGGTAGCTATCATATTGAACATGGGGAAAATTTCTTCTTTGTATTTCTTGTATTGAAGAATTATTATTATTATTATTGTTATTGTTGTTGTTATTTTAATTAAAGAAATTTGAGAAAAAAGAGTTTTGTAAAGCAGGACATCTCTTGTGCATGCGTCTCAAAACTTAAAATCCAATCAAAACCAAAACATATAGTGAACTTTCAACCATAGCCAAAACAGAAAACCCAAATTATTCTTTTTGTTTATGGTCTTAAATATTCAATTATGAAAGCTAGAGAGTTTATTAATAAGTTACAAATGTTATCCCATGAAGACAATAAAGGAATATATCAAACTTATAGCACTAACAATAGAAGATAATACCTCAATTAGAAATATAACAATTACAATTAGAAGGCCATCTATTGCTAGTATTTGCCATAGAAGCGGTTGCAAAGCTATTTAGATAGATGATTATCCTTTTGAGCAACTAAAATTTTTAAGTAATAACATTTGCATTGCTAGATCTAGAGGAGAGCAACAATATTGACTCGTAATAGTCCCTACCTACTATGAGTCAATGTTAATAACAGCTAAGCCGAGCCCTACATGCAGCTCATCTAATTAAGCCCCACCATGTGTTTGTGCTATCTTCCTTCTCCACTAGAGCACAACCCAATGAAATATCGAAATAACTCAGATAAAGGCTTTTAAAAAAAAGGAGAAACGCTCGTGAGGGTGGGAGAACCTTTGAGGGAGAACATTTTACTTCTTGTTTATTCTCCTTAGTGGCTAAGAGATGGAGGAGGCAACAGCTAAGGAGAGGAAAGTAATAGAAAATGAGTGGAATCAAGCAAAAGGAAAGGGGTGACTAGAGTTGAGACTCCTAGCTAGGGAGTTGGAAAAGTAAACTTTTAATTTATTATCTCAAACTATTTTATTAATCATTTGATATTAAATTAATTAAAATCTTAAATTTTTTAATTACATAATTAGACATAATTCTCTATTAATTATCTTAAACTTTACTTGCTCCACTAACGTGCTTACGTGTGGAACCAAAATAAGTAAATGTAGATAAAGATATTAAATATAACCTCCACAACAAGAAGAATTAATTATCCAAAATTGAAAAAGAAAAAGTCATGGGATGGTCATGCTTATTAAACACGCGTTGACCCATGCTTGAATAATTTGCGCGTTTCTTTTTGTGGAATTATTCTGGCCACTTATAATCGACAGTAGAAATAATGATTAGACAACTAATCTTTACCTTATTTGGATCAAATTAGATATTATTAATTAATAAATCATCTATTCCTGATGAATGGGTACGGTGCATGTCCACTTTAATCAGATTGTTTAATAATTTCTAAAAGAACTAAAAGAATACTAATGAAATCTTCTAAATTAGAAAATGCATTGGCGTGTTATGGCACCAAATAAGTAGTATCATCAAAGGGATGATGACTATATAAGCTAATTTAGGGCCATGCTACTATGCTAGAATTAATGCCAATTCTCTAGTAACTAAGGACAATTCTTTGGTATATCGAATCCCAAATGTATTGAAAGAAAAGTCATGATAAAATGCACTTGACTATTATTTTTATTCTCCAAAGATGTGATAATCTTTTCATAAAAATGAAGTTGTAGATGCTCCTTTCGTATATTTTTAGTAAATTTAATTTAAATTTTTAACTTTTTAAATATGAATTTTATATAAAAATTTGACATATTATATAAATGATAATCTTTTTAAATATAAATTTTTTATAAAAATTTGACATATTATATAAATAATAATTAATTTTTTTAAAATCAAATAAAAATACTTAACAAGAATTTCATATAAACAAAACATTTTTCAATTA